CCAATGCCATTACTAGGTGGCACAATGACCATCGCACTCAGAAAGAGGTCAAAGTGATGACCATGCAGCAAGGATTATCGGCAGCAGCGAGGGTGGAATAGCAGACAGTGGCTAGAAACAAGGAGGAAGGGTTGGGGTGGTGGTTGTTGGGACAGCTGGTGGGTAAGGCATAGGCGAGAGGTTCTGTCATGCAGTTTGATATCATTGTCATTGTCTGCGCCAGTCAATCCTGTATTGGCACCACACACTTCATTACATAACAAACAGCAGGAGGTGATAGCTCCATGAAAATCCCTATCCTCAATGTCAGAAATCTCAATCCATTGTTAAATAGATCCAAGACAGATGAAATATGTAACAAGGAGTGAACCTTATCTTATTGATAGATTTAAAGTTGTTGTATTATAGATCTCTGCCTCTTAACTACCAAACACAGTGCCTTAGCTGACCTTCTTTAAAAATAAAATACAACTGTTCAGACATTCTGCGATACACCTACTGGGCAGCTGAAACATGAACCCAGACCTTCTGGCTCAAAGGGACACTTGCACTATTTCACAAGACTTCCCAAAGTGACTCTTTTAATGTATGCTTTCTGAGTTTTTTTTAATCTTGTAACCAGTTCAGGTATCTGTTGCTTCGTGATGATAAACTTGTCGTTACTTGAAAGACTTTTGCAATCATTCTGTTCACAGATGTTACTGCACACTTCTGGAACAGGTAGCACTTGAACACAGGCTTCTGGGCTCAGAGGTAGGAACAAAAGTACTACTCCACAAGAGCACAAGTATGCACTCACATGCTAGCTTTTATTCCACTTTTTTTTATTGAAATCAAACTTTTTCACCAACTGCCACAGCAGGATTTGAATGCACATCCACAACTGGGGGCTCTGGATTACCAGTCTGGTGACGTTACCTCTACATCACCAGCACCTCCATGTGCACTCTCAATCCCTATAACAAAAATGGCCATCACCTGTGTATCTTTACTAATATAATCAACCATCCATTCATATACATGTTTAAAAGCCAGGTCTGAAGCATTTGCAGTCGTCTTCAGCCAGAAGTGCTGACAGGATGATTCTTCATTTTACCGTCAGGACCCCCTCATCACAGATTCCATTCTTTAATCAATATAATTCATTCCATGTGATATTAAGAAATGGCTGAGTGTATCTGATACTGTAAAGGACTTTGACCTTAACAACCTCTGGGCTGTACTGCCATAATATATGCTCAAGAATTAATTACTCCCTAAACTGAAATTCTGCCATCTAGCCAACAATGTGGAATGTTGCCCAGGCATGTCCTTTACAAAAAAATAATCAGGCATATCAAACATAGCCAATTACTGTCCATCAGTCTACTTTTAATCAACAGCAAAATGATGAAAGGGTTGTCAAAAGTGTTGGCAAGTGACACACACCCAAGAATAACTTGCTCACTGATGCTCAATGGAATCCAACAATCACCCTGATGAAATTTAATGCTATTACCATCACTGAATCCCTAATTATCAACATACTCTTCTTTTTTTTGGGGGGTGGGGGGGGGGGGGGAGTGCAGTGTTTTACTGACCATACAGATAACTGGACTGGTCTCATAAACGCTATGACTACAAGTGCAAGTCAGAAACTGGGAATTTGGTTGAACACCTCAGCTCCTGACTCCTCAAATCCTGCCCACCATTGATAACGCACAAGTCAAGAATATGATGCAAAACTCTCAAAGAATCATAGAATCCCTACAGTGTGGTAGCAAGCCATTCACTCCATCAAGTCCACACCACTGCTCCAAAGCGTATGCCACCCAGACCCAACCCCCACCTCATCTGTGTTACCCTGCATTTCGCATGGCTAATCCACTTAGCCAGCACAGCCCTGGACATGATGGACAATTCAGTATGGCCAATCCATCTAACCTGCACATCTTTGGACTGTGGGAGCGCCCAGAGGAAACTCATGCGGACACTGGGGGAATGTGCAAACACCAGTCACCTGAACGTGCAATCGAACCTGGGTCCCTGACACTGTGAGGCATGGTGTTTACCACTGAGCCACCATGTCACCCCACATCTGGGCAAGTGCAGTTTCAACAGCACTCAAGCAGCCCGACAGCATCCAGGACATAGCAGATCACTTGATTGATACCCAACATAAACACATTCAACATTCACTTTACCCACTGCGGATGCACAGTTGCAGCAGCATGTCCTATCTACAAGATGCACTTCAATAACTCATCAAGCTCCTTAGACAGAATCATCCAAACCCATAATCTCCACCACTGAGAAAGACAAGGGAGCATGTGCATAGTGAACTACTACCTCTAAGCCATATATAATCCTGAACAGGAACCATATCAATGCTCCTTCACAGATGTTGGATCAAATTGCTGAAATGCACTATTTTTGAGAACTGAGGGCATACCTGCACCACGACTACAGCAGTTCAAAAAAGCAGTGCACCACATTACTTCACCAAAGGCGATTAGGAATGAGCAACAAATGTCTTAGCTAATGATGCCCAAAGTCTGTGAATGAAAAATTAGCCTGGCCCCAAAATTCCAGAAAGTGGTCAAGTGGCACATGTTCACCAGTAACCCACTCACCAAGCTTAGTTGGGATTTTTGCGAGCTTGCGATTTTTGCGATCTTGGTCCAAACTGGACAGCAGCTGAATTTCAAAGATGAGAAGACAGTGTTAGTTCTTAGCATCAAGGCAGCCTTCCACCAAGTGGGATGTAAGAGAGCTACAGTAAAACTTAAATTAATAAGAATGAGAGAAACTAATTAGAAGTTGAAGCCATGCCCTTATCACAGAAAACTGGTTATGGTAATTAGAAACTAATCATCCCAGCCAAAGGACATCATTGCAAAAATCCTAATTCCTAGCCCAATCACCTTGAACCACTTAAGCATGAGGTCAGAAGTGGAGATGTTTATAGATGACAGCATAGGATTTAATTTAGTTTGCAATTCACCAGATAATTAAGGTGTTATATGGCTAAAAGTAGAAAAATTGGATAATGTTTGGTTTGATCTGATAAGAGCAGATTACGTAAGTACCAGATATTGACAGTCTCCAACAACTGATATCTAACCACCTCATCACTTATTGACACATACTGGCATTACCACCAGTTCCCCATCAAGAACAATCTGGGGTTCACAACTGGCCAGAAATTCAGTTGGGCACATAAATACGGAGGTTATTAGAGCAGATTAGAGGACCAATTTCCCACAACTTCCCAAGACTAACAAAGCAGAAATCAGGCGTGTGATGCAATATTCTCTGCTTGGCTGGTAGGATACAATGGGAACAAAACTCAAGAAGTTTGACACCATTCCAAACAAAGCAGGTTGCTTGATTAGCACTTCAGCCACAAGCATAATCATCCATCTTCCATCACTGGTGTACCATGGCTGCAGTATTCACTATCTGCAAGATGTAGCCACTCAAAGTTTGATAGACCTTCTGAAACAATGAATCTCCATCATCTGGAAAGAGGACTGCGGGTGCATGGAAACACTAATTCCTCTAAATTCCCCTCCACATCACACCACATTCTTTCTTCATAATGCATCATCATTCTTTCACTATGATTGGATAAAATTATGAAACTCTCTATGTAACAGCATTGAGAGAGTACCTTCACTATATAGACTGCAATAGTTCAACAGGTCAGCCCACTACCATCCCCTAAAAGACAGGTAGAGGTCAGCAACAAATTCTGGTTTCGATTGACATGCGAAAAATTTTAAAATCCTTTCTTGTGACGTAAAATGTTCTTAAATTGTTTCAGACATGAGACTCAGTTCAAGGTGGGCATCGTGTTAGATGAAGCCTTGACAATTTTGAAAGCGCTATGCATTTTAAGCATTTGTTAATTTTTCCAAGTCTGTATATGATTCTGATGTTAGTTTGGAACTAATCAGGGATTCAAGCACACAGAAAAATTGTATGAACATTCTTCTGCCCAGTCTATGTGTTGCACTGTTCCCATTGAAATAGTAGATAATTGGTAGACTGCTTCTAGTCAGTGTCACTTCAGTCAATATCCAGAAGGAATATGATGTCCAACTTAAATTGCCTCCAATTTTTACCTTGGCTTATTAATTTTCTTCCCTTACCCCACTCAAGCCACTTTTCCAGGTATTAGAAGTTCAATATGTAGGGAAAACCAACACAAATGCAAACTTCACAAATCCATAGCACAACATAACAAAGCATGATTGTCAACCAAAGATTGTAACACTTCTATTGAAAGTGAATAAATATTCCAAAAAAATGCATCATAACAGTTATTATAATATTGACAAAGTTGGTTTGATTGACTCATCAGGTTAGGATCATCACCAATAAGGCCATCACAAGGCACAAGTCAGGAGTGTGTTGGAATGCACCCCACTCACTTGGATGAGTGCAGCCCCAACAACACTCAAGAAGCTTGACACTATCCAGGACAAAGCAATCCATTTGTTTGGCACTACATCCATAAGCATCCACCACCGATGCCCAGAAGCAGCAGTGTGTACTATCTACAGGATGCATTGCAGAAATTCACCAAAGATCCTCAGACAGCATCTTCCAAACCCACGACCACTTCCATCTAGAAGGACAAGGGCAGCAGATATATGGGAAGTTCCTGCAAGTTCCCCTCCAAGCCACTCACTATCCTGACTTGGAAATATCCCGCCATTCCTTCACTGTCGCTGGGTCAAAATCCTAGAATTCCCTCCCTAGTGGCATTGTGGGTAGACTGCAACGATTCAAGAAGGCAGCTCACCACCACCTTCTCAAGGGCAACTAGGGATGGGCAAGATATGCCCAGTGACACCCACATCCCACAAAATGAATAAATAAAAAAAATCTATCATATTAAATTAACACAAAGCTGTAATTAAACATACTGTTAATTCTGCAACTGATTAGAGAGAGAAAATATGAAACCAACACTTGTCAATGGCTGAAATATCTGCAGTTACTTGTTATCTTACCTCATCACCTTTCAGGACTTCTGTGCCATCAAAATCACGAGCTTGATTTGTTTTCTGCGCCAGTTCTTTCTCCAAGTTTGATAATTCCTCTCTTCCTTCCTGTAACTCTTCAGCTTTAGCTTCTTTTTTCCGGGAAATGATAGATGCCTGAAAATTGGTGTGAAAATTAAAATGTTACTTTGGAAGTTGTTCGTCAATGCAGATGTATAATTTTGTCATTTGCTTTAATTGAGAGAATAATTTTTAAAAACCCTCTGTTCTTAATTTCACTACTACCTCATGGATATAATTTTAAACTCATAGATAACTGGCCTAGTCTGGTACATGGAACACTGGTGTGATGCTTGGCTGCTAACCTTGTCTGCACATTAAAGTCCACATCTCAAGAAGTTCCAGAATGAAAATGTTCTCAATAGACAAATCTAGGTAATTGGAAATATGAAATCATCACAGGTCAATTGTAACAGTTTGCATATTTCAGACTCATATCAACAGCTGACTTCCTCTTCCGCTCGAGATGGAGTCTAGATTTGAAATATAATGTGATTTTGAAGTCTGACAGATATGCTGAAATACAAGCTCTTCCTCAAAGGTTGCTCTCCATAGAGAAGTGAAAATGATTAGGTCCACACACAGGTGAGTGAACATTAACTGTCTTTACTGAATAGAACAATGTATAAGGAATGGTAAGAGAGGGCATCTCTGGAATCTTATAGGCTCAGGTTCCAGTTCCATGTGATCTGACTTTGACATAAGTCCTGCTGCACATCTCAGTACCTAATCTTACAGCATAGTGAAGTCTTTATTTCACATGTTCTCCCAAGTTCACCCTTCCCATTAATTGTTGATTTCATGAAGTTTTACACATCTTCCATAGCTCTGTTCCAATCTCTACGCTTTACAGCACAATTCTGCAGTTGGAGCAGTTTCACCAATATTCCTGAATGTGCACGGTGTTCCTTTGGAGGATGTGGAGGGTTGGTGCATGCCAAATTGAAGATCTTTAGTCCTTGTCTCAGTATTAAGGGGCCATGTTGTCACATTTTCCTCCTGAAGATCAGGATATGCATCCAGCCAACTGCTTCCTTTTTTAAACAAAATCCTGGAACTCCCTCCCTAATGGCATTGTGGGTCACCCACAGCAGGTGGACTGCAGCGGTTCAAGAAGGCAGCTCTTATTTCTTCAAGCAATACAATTTGGTGTTCAGGTAAGACAAGATCTTAGTTGGAGCTTTGCAAGCACAGTGCCTTCAGGCTACCTGTCCATGAGCCTCACGTAGCTACCCTAGTTCAACACATATAGCTTATCAACCCTGGGTCTCTGATTTAAAGTGCGAGCATGGTCTTCTCCAAATCTACTCCAAAACCTTAATGGTCTTCTCTATCATGTTGCACTTTGTCTTTTTTTTTAAAATGGTCCTGCACCATGACACTTGGCAACCTGCAACCAATCAAAATCTATCATGGGACGAAGCTGTTCTGCAATGGTGTAGGGCAGTAGCTGAGTAGTGTTAAATTAAAATCTTTGTTCTTTCTCCAGAGGCTTTTACTGTATATAATTCTCTCTCAGTTTCGCTATTGGGTTCAGGATATCTCTGTGAAGTAGTAATGTGGATAAATCTATACGAAACCACAAAGGATCAAAACAATCATTGGCACATTGTGGCCCATTGTCACAGGCGACGACAGCCAGGATTCCAGACATGGAAAAAATAATCTTCACAGATAGTATTACAGACTCTAAGCAGGTGGACTGAGCTTCTGAACCTTGATTCATCATGAATAACATTTTACCAAGATGAGAAAAAAAAAATCTCCTTAAAATCAATAGGTGAATGCTAAGGTGGTGCCAAGGCATAGCTGAAGAAAAAAGGACTGTAGAGAAAAGGTAATTTCTGTTTTTGAAATGCAGATGGTGCAATTGGAGACCAAGTCCTCTACGGAATGAGAGATAACAGGTCATCACATAGATTACCTGCACACACCCTGACCTAACACATTTGAAATACCCACATGTCCCTGGTAAATCTTCTGGAAGACATTCAGATGAAGAACTTGTGGAACTATCAATCTCTCTTTACAGGAAATAGTTATTAAGAATACTGGCAAAATGGTGTTGCTCAAAATACTGCCGTACTGGAACACAGCCTACTAGCAAATGTAGTACATTGGCCATCTTATCCCATCGCATTGAATCTGAATTAAGACTGTTGAAAAGTCTGGATCACAACATACAGAGACCTTGACAAAATGAGCATGTCTTTTATTCGATCAAATGAGTGCTGCTCCTCAGTGCAACACTATCCCTGATCTTACTTGAACAATCACTGGAGAGGCTCATTAACTTAGGCTAAGTGGGGTAAGAATTTTCACCATAAACTGTTGCAGCTCTGTGATATTCCACGGTGGTGGAATGTCCTGATGGCTTCTATTTTCTGCAGATCTGCTGTCATTTTGTTGATTCAGCAATGTAGCCCATAAAAAAAATTAATCATTGACTTTGAGAATTCACATTTGTTACAAGTGTCAACCCAAAGTCTTGTAACTTTCTCAAGATTTTCCTTACCCAAAATCATGTTAGGCTTCAAAAGACTGGTTGGGAATGTCATCGATGTGGCATATACTGCCTTTCATTCCTTCTAATTTGTGGGATGCTGGCTACTGTAAAATTTCAGGTGTGGATGTGATGATCAAAGAAAGGTGGTTAAAACAACAACATCCTCAGAGTGTTATGAATATGGCCAGCAGCTTGGAGTACTTATGTAGTGGAAGTTGTCACAAGCCACTGTTAGTGTCCAACTTGGTGGAAGATTGTGCTGTTAGTAATTTTAACGGGGCTCTCATCAAAGGATGCCATTGGAAATATGTCTCGTTGCACTTCCTTGCTAAAATAAGTTAAGTCAACATAAATTCTAATTAATCCCTTCGGTTTAGGAACTGGCACCATACCAGAACACCATGTAGATGGCTATGTGACATTTGAAATGATCCCTTTTGAAGCACAGCTTCACCTTAGCTCCTACCTTGTTCTTAAATGGGTTTAGGATCTTCCTGGGTGTGTATTTGGTAGATTTGGCATCTCCCTTCAGTGTGATGTGGCATGCAGTTTTCCCAGGCTTTTAAAGAGTTTTTGGGATTGTTGCTAAAACTAATTTGCTGGTTCTTGACTGATAGCTACATTTACTTTAAGGATGTTGTTGACGACTATGTAGTTCTCCTGCTGAGCAGTGAACATGGCTGGCTGTAGATAACATCCAACGTTAAAACGATTCCTTGCCTTTGGTGTCTTAACATTGCTTAAAGCTGGACTTTGTCCTTGAGGCTAGTTCCTCCTGGGTCTTGCAGTTGTACGATGAAAACTTTAGGGTAAACTTCCACAGCCATTAAAGTAACAGAACAGTAATTCCAGCCTTTGTGTCCAATTTAAAGTGTGAGGCATGGGGGGCACTGACAGCAATGCTAGAGCTCCAATATTGACTAAACATGTCTGTGATTTCCCTAAGAGAACAAATGTGCCATGCAGGTTTGCCTTTAAAAGCAGCCTCCTTGTATTTTCTTAGTAAGGGCTTTTGCAATGAAAAGTGACTGCTGTGACTGAAGCTAAGGCTTTCTACAGTTTGAGTGGGGCCTTCTTCCTGCCTTCTTCAAGTCCTCTTGGGAAGCTTGGAAAATGGCACTTGGCACCATTTCTGCATACTTCCCCCAACATACACACGAGACAGTCATTTGGCAAATACAAATAAGTTGATAGGGTTTTTGAAATTATACCATGATTCAAAGCACCTGGTTTAGACTGCAACTGAGCAGATAAATTGCTTGAATTCCAGAAGGAAAAGGTGAAAAGCTTTCCCTCCATCTTCCATACATACTGTCCCCCTCCACTCCTCCACCACTTAACCAACAGATTGATTATGGATAAGGTGATTCCAAATTTATGCTCTCAAGTGGCAATAACTTCCAAGTGACACAAATGTAAATCTCAACAGGGCTGAAATGAAAACCCATGGGATGACAGTACAAAAATTTCGATGACATCAAATATACTTTCAGTGCTTTACAAAAAAAATCAGAATCTTGTATGCCTGTTTTGTACTGACTAAGATGAATGAATAAACGTGTGAGGAATCACAAGGAAAATCTGCATCCAGTTTCTCCATGACACTGTGCCACTGAATGAATTCAATGGAACTCTTCTCAGGTGAGTTTGTGGTGGGAGGAATATCATAACTATAGGGCATATATTCACTCCTCCGGTTCATACTGACATTTTTCTATAAACAGAATATAACATTATACCAGCTGATTGGGTGTTGACTTCTATGTGGTAAGAGTGTTTAAAGGATTGTTTTTATTCCTTCACAGGATTTGGGCATTACTGGCTAATCCCAAACTCTAACAGTTCTTGAGAAGGTAGTGAAAAGCCACTTTCTTGTATTAATACTGAAAGGAATTCCAGTATTTTGACCCACCAACAGTAAAAGTCTAATAAGATAGCTCCATGTCAGGATGGGGTGTGGTTTGGAGTGAACTTGCACATGGTGGTGTTCATCTATTGCCCTTGTCTCTCTAGCTGTTAGAGGATGTGGATGCGGAAGACGCTGGCAGCGAAAGCTTAGTGAATAGTTGCAGTTCGTCTTCTAGAAGGTGCACACTGCTGCCACTGTGTTGGTGGTAGAGTGAATATGTAGTGGACAGGTTGTCAGTCAAGTGGACTACTGTATCCTGGATGGTGTCGAGCTTTGAGTGTTGATGGAAAAACATCCACGCGAGTGTAACTTGCCTCTTGCAGTTTTGGTTAGAATTAGAATTAGAATTAGATTGTATTGTCAGGTGTGCTCAAGTACAGAAGTACACAAGTACAGTGCAAACTGTACAATGTCATCATTCCTAGCACCATCTTAGGTACCTAGGTACTAAATCTTAGGTACAAAGTAGTAAATAAAGAAACAAAGTTAAAAATTAAGCGTTACAATCCTGTGTAGTGTAAAGCAGAAAAATAAAGAAATAAGAGGTAAGAGGAAAGTTACAAGCCACTTGCAGCAGAATTCCTAGCTTCTGATCTGCTCTTGTAGCCATGGTATTTATATGGTTGTCCAGTTCAGTCTCTGGTCAATGGTAACAGCTAGGAAGTTGACAGTGGAGGTTTCAAATTGTTAATGCCAATGAATTTCAAAGGAAATGGTTAGGTTCTCTTTTGTTGCAGATCGTCATTTCCTTGCACTTCTGTGGCACAAGTGTTATTTGCCATTTGTCAGCCCAAGGACGAACACTATCCAGGTCTTGATGCATATGGATACAGTATCAGTAATCATGGTATTCAGTATCTGAATGGTGCTGAACATTGTACAATATGGTGACAATCCCTACTTTTGTCATTATAAGGGAGGGAGGTAATTGATGAAGCACTTGAAAACAGTCGAGCCTAAGATACTACACAGAAGAACTCCTGCAGTGATGATCTAGAACTGAAATGACTAACCTCCATCAACAGCAATCATCTTCTATGTGTTAGGTATGTCTCCAATCAGTTATGAGATTGGAGACATATCTAACATGTCTCCAATGTTAGGTATTTAGGAGAGGTTTGCCCCAATTACAAGTGATCTCATAACTATCGATGAGGAGTCCCACTACATCTTTTGCACATGAGTGCAATTGCTGGATTTCAACCCAGAATTGGGAGCTGAGGGTCCAACTCCAATTACCAGAATTACCTCAAGTAAGGTTTGAAACTTACATCTAATAACTCTAGCCATTCAGCCAAAGACTCAAGTCACATTAAAAAGTTGAAAAACACAAATGATGTATTTCATTTTTAATGAAACAGAATATTTTTGGAGTTCATCTTCCATACTAATGTTTATATCATCCTACCTGTTGCCGAAAAAGGAACAGTTTATCATCCATTGGATCATTTCGCATCATTCTCTTCTCAATTAATTGGTTAATTTGAGTATTGATCTCCTGGATCTAAAAATTGAAAGCAGTGATAGCAAAATAATGAAAAATACCAACCATTCTGAAATGTTTTGTTTAAGTAATGCATATATAAAAAATAATAGTACTTCAAACGTTGGGTATACTTGACTACAATAAGGCATTACAAGTTTAAGTACAATTCCAGATATAATGCTATTTGCAAAACTGCATTTACAAAGATTAATCAAAATTTTAAAATACATATTTTGAAACTATGACACTATAAAATGCCAAGCAAGAAACTGTCCTAAATTCTATTTCCTTTGAGCATTATTGTTCTTCAAAATGTTTAGCATGGTAATGATATCACCCATAGGAATAAATGGACATCTCTTGCTTGGCCGTATTAACAATCCTGCATTGCAAATTATTTGAAGTGATCAAATTTAAATTTAAAAACTGCTGATCCAAGACAGGACAATGGAAAAGCAAGAACTAATAGACAGTTCAGCGTCATTCCACAGTAAAACACTAGGAGGGCAGAAATTGATAGACAGACCAGCAACAAGATCAAATTAAGCAGCCAGGATGGGTTTCTGGTCATCTGAAATGGCATGCAGGGAGTGATAGGTTAAATTCATTTTAAAGCAAAATATATTGCAAGTTGTAGATTTGAAATGAATAGAAAATGTTGAAAATACTCAATTGGCCAGGCAGAATCGATGGAGAGAGAAACAACATGAACATATCAGGTTGATGATTTATCATTAAAAGAGGAACAAGTTACAGGTTATTAAAGTACGAAACAGAAAAAGCAGGAAGGAGAGGTACTTTCCTTTTTTCTCCACAGATGGCATCTGAACTGTTGTATAGTTCTAACATTGAAACACAGAAAATAGGAACAGCATTGGCTGTTCAACCCTTCAAGCCTGCTCCACCATTCAATATGATCAATGTCTGATCATCCAACTCTAGAAGGAAAAGGGTGGCAGATATGGGAAGAACACCATCTGCATGCTCCCCTCCAAGCCATTCATCATCCTAACTTGGAAATATATCGCTGTTCCTTCACTGTCACTGAGTTAAAGTCCTGGAATTCCCTTCCTAATGGCACTACCTATAGCATATTCTCTGCAGTGGTTCCATAAGGTAGCTCACCCGCACCTTCTCAAGGGTAACTAGGGACAGACAAGAAAATGCTGGCTCAGCTAGTGACATCCATGTTCCACAAGTGAATAAAAAAAAGTACCTTATCCAGTCCGGTTAGAATTTTATAGGTTTCTTTGGGATCCCCCTTATTCTTCTAAAATCCAGTGAATATAGTCCAAACTCATTTAGTTTCTTTTTGTACACAAGCACTGCTATCTCAGGAATCAGTCTGGCGAACCTTTGTTGCACTCTCTCCATAGACAGAACATTACTCTTCAGATAAGGAGACCAAAACTATACACAATCTCATCAAGGCCCTGTACAATAGCAGGAAGACATCCTGCTCCTGTATTTGAATTATCTCACTATGAAGGCCAATATTTCATTTTCTTTCTTCACCACCTGCTGCTCATGCATGTTAACTTTCAGCAGCTGGTGTACAAGACACCTAGGTCTTGTTGCACCTTCCCCTTTTCCAATCTATTGCCATTCAGATAATAACCCGCCTTCTTATTTTTGCTAAAAATGGATAATCTCATACTATATTGCATTTGCCTACTCACAACTTGTCCTGAAGCTAACAGTTTCTATTTTTATTTTCTAAGGTCAAACTGATGGATGAACAAAAAAGCCAGTATTAATTGAATAGCATTGTAAATGAACAGGTGATAACTACTGTTGTGTGGTCGAGTTCATATGTGTTTCTTTAGTAATTATTCTTCAGAAGGGAAAACATCCATGGAGACATCCGGTTACTTCGATGCAGTTCTTTTGTTCTCAGGCTTTAATAACAGAATTGTTTTTGCAGGAAAAACTGTAATATCAACACAAGGAACCATGTCCATAGGGAGAGTCAGGACAAGTGAGGAAGTTACAAATTGGTCAGACAGAAGTATTGTTGAATAGACCACTGGAACTCTACCCAAAGCGGAGTAGCTAAAATCAATTCTTGCTCTGTCAACTATCACTTAAATACTAACTTTAATAATGTTTTACTTGTTGACACTATTCATATAATTTTATATTAGTATCAATTTTGACCCATTTGATCAAATGGGTCAATGGGCTGAAAAATAGCTAATGGAATTCAATTCAGTTAAATGCGAGGAATTGCATTTTGGTATAACAAACACAATTAATGGTAGGGCCTTAGGTAGTTATGTAGAAATGAGGGACCGAGGGGTTCAGGTACATAATTCTTTGAAGTCTGCATCACATATTGACAGGGTGGTTAAAGAGGCATTTAGTATGCTTGCCTTTGTTGCTCAGTCCTTTGCGTATCATAGAATCCCTACAGTTTATAACAGACCATTTGGCCCACCAAGTCTACAACGACCCTCCAAAGAGCATCTCATCCAGTTCCATGCCCCTACCCCGTAACTCTGCATTTCCCATGGCTAATCCACCTAACCTACACGTCTTTCAACTTTGGGAGGAAACCGGAGCACCCAAAGGAAACTCATGGAAACACGGGGAGTATGTGTAAACTTCACACAGAAAGTCTTCCAAAAGGTGGAATTGAACCTGGGTCCCTGGAGGTTTGAGGCAGCAGTGCTAACCACTGAGCCACCAGGTTGGGAAGTCATTTTGAGGTTGTACAGGACATTGGTGAGGTCTTTTCTGGAGTACTGTGTCTCGTTCTGGTTGCTGATTTATAGGAAGGATACTACTAAGATAGACAAGGATCAGAAGAGATTTACCAGGATGTGACCTAATATGGAAGGTTTGAGTTATAAAGAAAGGCTGGATAGGCTGGGACTTTCTCACTGGAGCATTGGAGGTTGAGAGGTGACCTTATAGAGGTTTATAAAATCATGATGGGTGTAGAAAGGGTTAATGGCAGGAGTCTTTTCCCTACTATGAGGGATTTCAAGACTGGGGGCATATTTTTAAGGTGACAGCAGAGAGATTTAAAAAAAAAACACGAGGAGCAAATACTTTATGAAATGAACTTCCTGAGGAAGTGATAGAAGCAGGTACAGTTACAATGTTTAAAAGACACTTAGATAATCACATGAATAGGTAAGGCTTGGAGGGATATGGGCCAGAAGCAGGCAGGTGGGACTAGTTTAATTTGGGATTACGTTCGGCATGGACTGATTGGACTGAAGAATCTATTTCCATGCTGTAAGACTCTATGACTATGACTCTATGAAGGTGGAAAAGAATAATGAACAATCCAGACCAAGAATAATTAACTGGGATAGAGCTGACTTCAATAAAGCAAGAAGTGAGCTCGGCAAGATACAGTGGAGCCAAAGTTGGTGGGAGAAACTGTAGCTGATCACTGTATCGCCTTCACTGAAGAAACATTTAGGCACATTCAAGGTATATTCGCTCAAAAGGGAAAGGTAGGTCAAACAAGTCCAGAGCTCCTCGGACAGAAATAGAAATTGAGATAAAGGAGGAAAAGTGTCATTGTCACCGGTATTATGTGGAAAATGCAATTAAAATCAAGGCTGAATACAGAAGCTTCAGAACAGAGATGAAAAAGCAAATAAACGAAGAAAAGAAATTATGAAGAGAGACTGGGAAGCAATCATAAAAAGGAAAATCCCAATGATATTTGTAAGTCACATAGGTAAAAAGAGGATTAGGGCTGCATTGAAACATACAAAATGGGAACATGAGAAGCTCATTTGGCCTGCTCGGCCAGTCAATACGATCGTCCTATGATTGATAGTACCATGCTCCCATTTCCGCTCCAAAATGGACGAAAGAGAATTTATACATGTAAACAAAGTAATGGCTGAGGTATTAAACGGATATTTTGCATCTGTCTTTACAAATAAAGTAGATGCTACCAAGGCCATTGCGATGGAGGAAGAAATTCAGTCACTGGAAGCATTCAAAATTGATAACGGACATAGTATGCAGTAGACTGCCAATACTTGATAAGGGACAACAACCAGATAAGATACATCCAAATGTACTGAAGGAAGCCAATGTGAAAACTGTACTGTGGTAAAGGACAATAGAGTTAGAGAATAGATTACTTGCCTACTTCTTAAACCAATGTTGATTGCCCAGTATCAAAGTTAGGAAAATCTCCTCCAGACCAGAAAGAAACATGGAGCAGGAGGCGAAGGATCCAGTTGTTGAAGTGCACAAGGATACCAAGGACATAGCTAACACTACAAAGAGGCTCTGATGAGGAAGTATGAGCAGCCAGGGGCTAATAAGCAGAACTACAAAGGTAATGATCCCTGGACTATTACTTGAACCACAAACAGATTGACATTGTGTAAGCAATACTGGAGAACTGGTACATCACTCAAAGATTGGTGTGGGAGAAATGGCCTTCAATTCATGGGGCTTTGGGACCAGTACTGGGAAAAAGAGGAAGCTGTACTGTTGGGACAAATTTTACCTGAAAAAAACACTGCAAACAATGTCCTGGTGAGTTATATAAGTGGAATTGTAGAGAGGGCTTAAAATTAAATAGTGTTCACCTAAGAGGAAATGTGAGAAGTTAAATAGAAAGGACAAGACAACAGTTCAGGGTAACAATATGGTTATGGTAACCAGAATATGAATAAAGGGACCAAAGTTACAAACGTAGAGTGTGCCAGCAAATATTGAGTGAAGAAAGATTTAGAAATCCAAAGATAAAAGTTCAGTCAATTGAAAAGTATATCAATGTTGAGAAAGACAAGCTTAGTGGTTGGTTAGCTCAGTTGGCTGGATGGATGGTTTGTAATATATAGGGATGCCAAAAACATGAGTTCCATTCCCGTACCAGCTGAAGTATGGTGACCCTTCGGTTAAACAATCACCTGCCATCTCTCTAATGACAGTGCAGCCCAATGGTCTGCTAGGACAATGGCAACTTGCAGTTATGGAGGGTCCCAGAGGACTAGTAAATGGCTGATGTAATACCACTGTTTAAGAGAATGGGAGGC